CGGGCTGGGCTGTGTGCTGCTCGCCTTGTAACCTGCGGCGTCTCAATCCTTCCCGCAGCATCCCCCGKCCCCCCCTCCACCATCCCTCAACTCTCCCGACCTTCTGTCTTCTTCRTTTCTAGGAAGTGCAGCTGTTGGCAGGCACTGGCTGCTCCTTCCTCCGGCCGCAGGAGGGGTCTGGGCCCCAGCCAGCCCCGGCTTTGTGCAGGATGGGTTGCGCAAGGAGCTCTGCGGCCACCTCGTCCCCGCAGGCAGGCGGAGCAGAGCGGTCCCAGAGCCACCCACTGTCCCCACAGCTTCGGCTTCTCCACGTGTCGTGCTTCACGGGGAAGCGGCCGCCTAAAGAGCAGCCCTTCGCTGATGTTTTCGGGCTCAGCACGGATCACTGTGCTCCTTGCAAGAGGCAAGAGCAGGATTTGCTCCTGCTGGGCGGAGCACCCTTCTCAGCAGCTGGCAGGCAGCATTGGTTTGGGGGCTTCTTCTGTAAGAGCTGATGCAGTTGGAGAGGTGAGATCTTCTAGAAGCCATGCTGGTGTTTGCAACTGGGGGGTCATATCTACAACCCTTTAATGAGGCTTTCCAGGAGGTAGGGCCATCAGCCCATTGGGAAAGAGGGACATGCCCAAGAGATGTCTCAATACCTGGCCATCCTGCCCATGGATATCCCCAGTCCCTGCAGGAYATGCTGAAGACACTGTCCCGGGGAGCTGTGGGCCCAGGGTCCTCACACCACCTCACATCCCTGTGACTTTTCACCCAGAGAGGGCTGGTGGGAAGTGCAATAATATTTGTATACCTAAAAGTAGAGCGATTGATCCCACTGCTGTTTTGCAACGTGTTGACGAGCAGACGGTGCAGAATTATATAAGTGTATGTGGAGCTGGCAAGTTTGTGCTCCAATCATATGAGCGCTGTTGTGCAACGCTTCCCCTCYGCAGCCCTGGAGGAAAACAGGAGTGTGGGGGCTGCCATGCATGTGCTGAGCCCTTCACGGCTCACAGTGATCCCAGTCCCCAGGATTCTGAGGGCAAGGGATGTGAGTGTTACTTTCTGAGGTCTCACGTTCAGCTTTAAAAGTCACCTGCGAGTCTAGCAGCACGATCCTTGCTCATTGCCCCTCCCTGTCCAGTATAAAACACCCCGCAATTGCAATTCAAAGATGATTCCTCAGCAACAGGAGCTTACCCTGAGCTCTGCATTCTACCCAGATGCAGAAGGGTTTGCAGGAGCCCTTAAGAGGGGCAATCCTTCCCAGCCGCTGTCTGGCAGAGCTGGGACGCTGTGCTGAGCACAGGGAGAGGCTGACTCTGGTGCTGCTGCTGCTGCTCTGCACGTGGGAGGTGGGTGGTGGGTGTCTGCATCCCCCTCAGCTGCCTTTGCCTGCCAGCACAGCCTGTGCTGCCGACTTCGTGGAAACAAAGCGCCGTTATTCCAGCACAAACAGCTGGGATAGTGCCAGGGAGTGGCCAGGGCTCACCTGGAGTGGGGACACAGCTACAAGTGGACCCTGAGGCAAGGTAAACACTGCAGCCAAACCGGGCAGGGTGTAGGTAGGCAGGGAATTATGTCCCTGTGGAATATGGGTAGTACCAAGAATAATGACTCCATAAGCGGGAAGGTTTTCCCTCCCTCTGTGCTGATCTCTGGCTGCCCAGCCCTTGCCCACCATCATGCCCTGCCCTGCYGGGCATCTGGAAGGGACCATAACCMGGCAGGAAGTCCAGACCTGAAAAGCTCCTCCTGAGGGATTCAGCCCTGGTGGCATCTCACAGTTCCCAATCAAAGCACCCCGCCGCCTTTCCAGCCTGGGTGTGCCCAACTTGAGCTCACCGCAGTGATTCCTGGTACCCGCCGCAGTGGGGGAGCCTTGGCAACCACTCCCACTCCATCCTCCATCCCTGCGTAACCAGGATCAGCCAGAATTACCTCACTGCCAGTGCTGGGAAAAGCGGGGGCCTGGGTGGGCTGTGCTGGAAGCAGGCAGGGGGTTGTGGCTGCTGCAAGCCTGGTTTTTATTGTGTTACCACTGGCTGGATTGGGTTGTGGATGKTTTCTGGGTGAATTAAACTCCCCTGTCACTGTGAGCAGGGATCTGTGGACAGTTCCATCTGTGCATCTCCGCATCCTGGCAGGATGGCAGGGACAGGCAGGATGGGTGAGGGGTGTGGTGGGTTTGGCTGCAGAGTATGTGCCAGCTCCACTGGGGTGCTGTAACCAGATCCTCACCAACTTGGCTTCTGGGCTCTCTGTGCTGACTGCCAGGTGGAAAAGTTGTCTTGTTCCTAGGGCAGCATGGAGACAGGCCTGGTTGGGGACAAGAGAGGCAGGATGATGCCTTACAGGGCTGCCACCACTTCTCCAGGATAGTGAGAAGGGCTCAGACCCCTGGCAAGGGCAGCAGGGACCAAGGGAAGCTGGCAGATGTCTGGGGTCGGGGGGCTTGCAGAGGTCTTGGGCTGCTTGGGGTAGTGTCCCAAAGGGTTCTCCTGGAATGGAGCAAAGAGATGAATGGGGCTGGGGGCTGCTGTGTCTYCTTGGAGAGCTCCAGGCCTGACAGGCCGTGTCCCACATCCCCATGGCCATGTGCCAGGTCACTGTGTCCAAAGCCAGCCATGGTTGTGCCCTGATCCYATGCTGGGGGAGTAGTGGGGAACAGGACCGGCCCAGGGGAGCTCGCTGGACATAGCCACTCGTGGCACTCTGGGTGGGGCTGGTGTGCACACAGGAACTTTGGGGACTAAATGGTGCCGGGTGCTCCAATACGGGATTGTGCTCGGGGCACTCGCTGGGACGGGCTGGTTTAGTGGGGCAGCGATGTGCCCGCGGCCAGCTGGGCCAGGGCGGGGGTAGAGGGGCCAGGCGTGGGTGAGCGATGGGCAGGAGGCGGGAGCAGTGACCCCAGGAGCCGGCAGCGACCCGGGCAACGGTGTGATGGAAGAAGGACACACACGGGCCGGCCCAGGGGAAGCGTCCGTGTTTAATGGAGCCTGCCACCGGTGCCGGGGGTCAGTCCGGTGGGCCAGTTCCAGGGGTCTGTGCCGGGGGTCAGTCCCAGGGTCAGTTCCGTGGGTCAGTCC